TTTCCATACTGGACTGCCAATCCTCAACAGTCCAAGACAGTAAAATAATGAGAAAGGGGGCAGATACACAATGACAAGTAAAATTTTTGACCCTGCAATGAACATAATAAGCTGTGTAAAAAAAAAAACAAAAAAACCCTAAAGGCTGGAAAGATGGCTCTGCAGTTAACACACTGATTACTCTTGCAGAGGATCCAGGTTCAATTCCCAGCACCCACGTGACAGCTAACAACCTTCTGGAACTACAGTTCCAGGGGATCCAATGCCCTCTTCTGACCTCCTCAGGCACTGCATGACACAGGTGTACTTACATGCAGGCAATACACCCATACACATAAAAAATACATAAAAATTTTTTTAAATCCTAAAGAATCCACAAAATTAATAGAACTAGTGAGTAAATTTAGAAGTCACATTACATATGGCAAATATACACACACACACAAAAATCAAGTGTGTTCCTTTGTATAAGACACAAGAAATCAGAAACTGAAACTTTAAAATGCCAATATACAACAGCAACACATACAATGAACTAGAAAGACAAAAGACCTGAGGCCTGCTAAAGCAAAGTTTAAAAAGACCCAAATAAATGGAAAAGTCTCAACATGGTAGGGAACACACGTAATCCCAGATACTTGGGAAACTGAGTTAAAAGGACTTTGAGTTTGAAGCCAGTGTAAGCCAAAGTTAGCAAGACTTCATTTTACACACACACACACACACACACACACACACACACACACAGAGAGATATATGGAGAGACATAGAGAAAGAAGAGGGAAGAGATAGATTGTACCATGATCATGGATCAAAATACTCATGTTGCTATCAATTCTCCCACAGTCCACTTATAAATTCATTGCAACTCAATCCAACACTCCAGAAGACTTTGTTATTTTTAACGGTACTGGGGACCAAACCAGGGCCTTATTATCCACGCTAGGTAAATGCTCTACCAGTGAATAACATACCAGAATTCAAACAGAATCTATTACAAGAATAGATCCATGTTATGTGTTCAATTGACTTTCAACAAATGTAACAAAGGTTCAGATGTTAAGGATAACATTTTCTTTTTTAAAATCACATTATTTACTTAGTGTATATGTATCTGTATGTGTACTATGGCCAGCATGTATGTGGAGGTCAAGAGGACAATTTGTGGAAGTTGGTTCTCTTTTTCCACTATGTGAGTCCAGGGGATCCAACTCAGGTTTTCAGGTTTGAAATATGTTTTCAAGTATGTTCTAGAAATATGCCTTTACCTACTGAGCCTTCTCAGCAGCCTAACATTTTCAGTAAACAGTAAAAACTGGACATTTATATGTGGGAGGACTTTATACCACATACAACATATAATTAAAAATGAACCACACTGTGCCGGGCGTGGTGATGCATGCCTATAGTCCCAACACTTGAGAGGCAGAGGCAGGCGGATCTCTGTGAGTTCAAGGCTCAAGGGCAGCCTGGTCTACATAGTGAGTTCCAGGCCAGCTGGGGCTACAGGGAGCAAAAAAGACCAAAAAAAAAGAACCACACCATTAAAAATCTTATAACAAGCAAGGAAGGTATTAGGTATTAGTGATTATTGGTTTGTCAAAGATTTTTATTTTTATGATTTTTTTAGATGGTCTCACCATCCTCAGCCTTATAGTCTCAGCCTCTCAAGTACTGGATTACAGTCATGCACCATCACCATCAGCTTTGGCAATGATTTCTTCCGATTAATAACAACAACAAAATATAGCATGCAAAAATTCAAACTGAATTTCATGAAAATTAAAAATCTTTTGCTCACAGGGCTCCTCAAGAATCCCTCAACATGTGGCAGTGATTATGACAACAAAAGGCGTAAGGAAGATGCTAAGCATTCTCAAAACCAGCCAAGTCCATCTTGTCTCATTTGAAATAATGGAGTAATAATTTAATCCTTCATTTCTAGTGTAGTGCATCACCAAGACTGTATTTGTAGCTAGTCCCCTACAGTATAAGATTGCTAACCTACAGGATGCTCTAGACTTTGAAAGTTGCTTCCACAGGCAGAGTTCACAGGTATGGAAACTAAGGCTCCTCTCCTTAGTTCACTTTGTAACTCGCCTATATTTGGCTTCTACTGTACCTGTTTTAGAGGTCATAATACCCAGCAGAAACAACTGGTTCTATCACAGTAGTTGCAGAGACCTCCCACTGGCCAATTAAAAAGACTCCACTGAAAAACTGAACAGGCAAGCTACAGACACTTGAAAACATATTTCAACAAAGAACTCTTTATCTAGTAGATATGAAAACCTTACAAGTCAATGAGAAGATAATCACTGTTAGAAGCAGGTGAATCTCTGTGAGTTCAAGGCCAGCCTGGTCTATACAGTCTGGGGCTACATAGTGGTACCCTGTCTCAAAACAATCAGCAACAACAAAAAGAGACAGAAAGTTTGAACATGATTATACAAAGCTCTACAGATGACAAATAAACTCCTGAAAAGATGTCTAACATCTTCAGTCATCAGGAAAATGAAATTTTAAAAAACAACGAAACACTACCACACACCTACTATGGCCTCAACTGACCACACCAATGTTTCTGGGAATATGAATCAACTGGGACTGGTGAAGACCTAAAATGGTAAAACCACTTAGGTGTGAATTTGGCAAATGCTTACAAATTTAAATATACCACATGACACATTCTATTTTTAGGTATTTTCCAAAGAACAATGAAGGTATGTTTCTATCAAGAACAACAGCTTTATTAACAGATGACTGTCCAAATGTCAATTAATAAATGAATGGTCAAACTAATTGTGGTATACCCACAATGGAGTACCATTCAACAATAAAAAGGGATGAATGAATACCACAACAAACTGGGTGAATCTTAAAACAATTTTGAGATAAAAAACCCAACGTAGTGCATGAAAGTTCATCTGTATAAAATTCTAGAAAATATAAACTAATTTATACTATCAGAAAGCAGATCAGTTGATGCCAGGGAACAAGGGAAATGAACTTCAAAGAAACTCCAAAGAAATGTGGGTTTGGGGGAGTGGAAGATGTGGTCACTCTTTCCATAATGGTGATGCTTGCTGTTTTAGTTTTACATTACTACAATACTGGGTACTTCATACAGAGATTTATTTAGCTCACAGTTCTGGGTTTAAATGGTATGGTGCTGGCATAGGCCAGGCTATGGTGAGGCATTCATAAGTGTGAGGAGCAATCACACAGCAGGAAGACAGGGAGGAGTCAAGCTTGCTCTCTTACCAAACACCCTCAAAAACTAACTGATCCCAGAACTACATCAATTCCTTCTGAGGGCAGTGCACTCAATACCTAATAATGTCTAACTAGGCCCTTCCTCTCACAGGCACGTCCAACTTTTCAACATTGCAACAAGATGTTTAGCACCTACAAAATGCATGCTCAAGAACTGTGTACTTGAATTTTAAAAATCACACACATACAAAAAAAATCTCATGTTTTAAGTTAATTATTCTGTGTCGGGCCACCTTTATGGCTTATCTTGGGCCACATGTGGCCTACAGAATGCAAGCTCCATATCACCTCCACCACAATGAGGACGGAGCTCTAATATATGCAATATACTCAAATCACATTTAAACATGGTATGCTCACAGGTACACACATATTACTAATTATTCATCAAACTGCACTTTATTTTGTTTGAGACAAAGTCTCCCTGTAGCCCCAGTTGGCCTGGAGCTTGCTATGTAGACCAGGATGGCCTCAATATGACAGAGATCTACCTACCTGTGCCTCCCAAATGCTGGGATTAAAGGTGTGCCACCATATCAAGCAAATATGCTTTTTTCTGCTGTGGAACAAGTGAAAGGGCACAACTCAGGATCAGAGGCCTGAGGTTTACATCTGGACTGTGCCATTTTATCAGCTCCCTTGATATCTTATTAGTAAAACAAAGGAAACAGTACAAACCCAAAAGCTCCCTATGACAGAGAGAAGAGAAAAAAGAACTTTGTAAACTAAAATATGACACCCCATTAATCTCTGCACTCTAAGAAGCAAGAGTTGTGAGTAGAAAAACCCTCACAAACAAAATCAAGTCATGCCCCAAACACCCCTTACTTGGCTCTACTCAGCTGTACGATCTAAGAGAAGGCAAGCCTCCATGTGGGTGGCTGAGAAACAACCTTGGGTCCTCAGCAAGAGCAACCAGTGCTCTTAACCACTGAGACATCTCTCCAGCCCCCCAGTTTTAGATATTCTAATGACGGTATGAAATTAAGTCCCTGAAATTTCTACCAAGTTCCCAAGAGCTGATGTTGGGCCTAATCTGAAAATATACTTCAAACAGCACTGATCTATATTTTACACTCTCAGATAATATAGTACAACAGCCTATAAAATGTGCCTATCAAAAATTTCAAATGTGGGTAATATAAAATAAATGCTCTAAATGCAAAACCACACAAGATATCAAAAAGTTAATCCAAAAAAGAACATAATTTCATGTTATTATATTAAAATATTTTTAATGTACGAGCTAAATTCATTTTGCTAAGTATTTTCACTTACTTTTTGTAACATGAGTACTTGAAACTAAAATCAGAGGTTAGCTGACAGCATTTTTCTATGACACAATAGTGGTCAGTGGGCAGGATGAATCAGTACACATATGACCAGGGGGCTTATTAGAAGGGGACGTGATTCCCCTGCACTTTAGGGCTAAAGAAGCCCTAGGTTATCTACAGGAGAGGGGCTCAGAGACAGGCAACAGCATCTGCTGGATCAGCTCAAATATAAAGCAAATTCCAGGCCAGCCAAGGCTACATAGTGAGACCCCCGTCTCAACAACAACAAAATAAATACAATACAAATCACCTGCAAATTGAAACTGTAGGCCACTCATTAGGTCTATGAAATTATAAAGGAAATGGTTCAATCACAAGGCTCTGGCAAAATTAGGCCAGTTAACTAAAAAAAAGTAAAGTCACAAAGATGGTGGCCCAATGGGTACTCACCTAAAGATGACTTGACATACGACGAGTCTCTATGATTAACAATGGTTCATTTCTGGGTCAGGTGTGGTGGCCTTTAGTTCCAGCACTCCGGAGGCAGAGGCAGGCAGACCTCTGTGAGTTCAAGGCCAGCCTGAGTTCTAAGACAGCTGGGGCTACAGGGAGATCCTGTCTCAAAAAGACCAAAAAAAAAGATTCATTTTCACATCCGACTTACTCTATGCAAGGAGCAGATTTGAAATAACTAATAGTGTTATTCAGGGATAGAAAAGCTCACCTCAAATGTGCAAGACCCTCCAGCACCTCCTCCCCCAAGTAAGATTAAAATTATTAAATACAGCATAAAAATTTAATTTCACTTTTCTCTCCCACTATTTATTATAAAATTGCAATGCCAATTTTCTCAGATAAATAAAACAGTACTATTACGTAATGATTTTATAGATCACTAGTCAATTTGAAATTACCACCCTTATTCTCAGTAATGTCATTTGCATTTGCAGGACTTACATGAGTACAGTTCATTTTTTATCAGTCTATTTAAAAAAGCACTAAACATATTTTCTAATTGAATCAAATGATTACAATTAATATGTTAGGTTTTTTCTACAGCACTTACATAGCTCATTTATGCCTCACAACCAGTATAGTATATTTAAAAACTTAAAAAGTACTGATGATAATGTAAGCACAATCTATACAGGTGGTGTTATATCCTGACTCAATGGGCAATCTCCAACATCAATGACTGATGAAGAACAGGGGATTGTCAATAAATACTTGGACAGGAATATACACAGACACACAGAGTATCATGCTGTTTCTGGAACAGGAAAACACCTCCAGCATAGTTGAAAGTATGTGCTCTGCTGGTCTAACTCTTGCAAGGCATGGCTCACGTATACCTCCCAATTGCCTGTCTTTAAGGTACTGTTTTAGGCTCCCTAAGCCAGGCTGAAACGTCTCCCAAGCAACTGTAGAAGAAAAATAGAGCAGCCAGACTGTGTACTAAGAGCAGTGGAGAAACAAGATACCCATTCTGCAATACACCCTATTATATATCAGGTAAGCAAAGCTGGACATAAATACACACCTCGAGGCCACCATTTCTCAACTTTTTTAAGTACAAAAGGGGCACTACTACTGGCTAGCTACTTGGAAACAATTTTTCATTGCAACATTCGGAGTCTTCCAAGATCTCGCCTCCACAAGCTGGACCCAAGAGAGTCCCTGTTCAATGCTCCTTCCTTCAGTATAGCTCCTTTAGGAATATGTGCCTAAATAGTCAATAAAATCTACTTCCGCATGTCAACACGACCCATCATGCAAGGCACAACCGTGTAACCAATGTTTTAAAAACCTTTACCTACAGCACTTCACTTGGAATGACATTCGAACTTTCTTTAAAGGTACACGACAATGCCTTTGCAAAAGCATTTTAAACTGCTGGGGCAGGCAAAAAAGAAGGCCCACACCAGCCACCTCTGCAACTGCAGGGCGTGTCTCTCTATCTAATGACCACCTTGAGGCCGCTGGGTCTGAGAGGGTCTGCAGTAACTTAAGACACAACACGTCACGGGCGGCCTTTCCGGAAGACAAAACAAGTGCAAGAGCAAGGCAGCGCGCTGGCAGCGAAGGCTTTTTTTTTTTTTCCCCCTCCTATTCAAGGACTTTGAGGAGATTCTGGTGAGCAGAGCCCGAGGGCAGCAAATGTGTTCCTTAGGGGCGGGACACCTCTGAGGTCCTCAAGGAGGAAAGTGCGCAGGTTCAGGTCCACGGTGACCCGCCAAGGCCCAAGTGGCAGGTGTGTCCACCGCGTAGCAGCCTCGGGGGATACCTGGGGGAGGGGAATCGGGGAAGGAGGGCCGGGAGGAGGGGGAGGGGGACCCGAGGTCCCGGAGAATGGGGTCGGGAGGGGCCCGGAGGAAGAAGGTCCAGAGGAGGGGGCCCCGGGGACAGACGGTCTGGGGAAGGGGTTAGGGCAGAGGTCCACGGGAGAGGGACCTGAAAAGGGGACCCGGGGAGAGGGACCAGGGGAGGGAGACCTGGGGAGTAATGTGGGGGAAGGGACCTGGGGAGGGGTACCTGGGGAAGGGTCGGGCCTCTCCCGCGCATTAGGCGCACGCACACTCTCACGCCTCCCCGCCGCCCTCACACAGGAAGTCCGGGAAGCTCTGGGGACAGCTGAGCCCCAACTCCCGGCCATTTAACCCCACTCGGGGGCAGCAAGCGCGCCCTCCCGAGGCCGGCCTCGCCTCGCCTGCGCCCCGCGCACGCCTCCCCGGCCCGCCGCCCTCTGCGGACACAGTCCGACCCCCGAGCGCCTTTGTGCAGCGCCTGCCGACGGCCCTGCGTCCGCGGGGACCACCGCCTAGGCTCCTTACCGAGGGCCCGGAGACCTCCCGGCGGGCAGCTGTCTCCTCAGCCCGCACCGCGGCCGCGCGACGGCTACGCGTGCCTGGAGAGCGCTCACTCGGCGGCCACAGCAGCCCCGCGTCCCCGCGAGCTGGTCTCCGAGGGAGGGTAAGTTCCAGGGCACGTCGGAGCGCGCCGGCGCGGGGCGGGGCGGGAGGGGTG